CTATTATATGAGTGTCACTATTCTTGTGTACTCCTCTGAGATCGCTTTTTTGCTTGTCCCAAAAGCAAGATAACACCTAATCCGCCTAGTCTTATCTCATAGTCGCATATCTGCTTTCAATCGATGCCTTCTCGCGGGTATACATTTAGAATCGAATAAGAGGTAACATGGACTCATACCAGCTTCTGTAGCTGTCCTTCCTTCTCACTAGGGACAGGAAGTCTTGGCTTTGGCCGGTTCTTCATGAACCTAGCAGCCATTAGTTCTTTCGTACTTGACTCACTGGTAATTGAATCGGCATTCTTGATTAAGAAGTTCCTGGCTTAGGTAGGATGCCAATAATGCAAAGCTAAGTTAGATGTCCCAATCGGGCAGGGTTTCTGTCTTCAATAGGAGCTCCGGATAGTTCTTTTTGATGGTAACCGTTAAGAGCCCGCTACCAGCTAGTGCCCCTTGCTTATTGTCTTTACATCTTCCACGGTACCCTCTTCTTTCTTTCCTAACAGCCCTTTGTTTCTTTAATAATAAGGTAAGGGGATTGAAGAAGTCCCATCGAAGAAGCTTAATACCCTTACTCTTTCGCTTTTTTATTCCTAATTACTCAGGCAAGCAAGATTTCATTTAAGATATATATCACATATTCATCTTTACTATATAGAATTCCTTTAATAGAAGATATCAGATATAGAGCACTGGGCCTTCGTCTAAAGTAGGCATTGAAAGAAGTGATCTCCGACTCTCATTTCAGATACCAATCCGGAATTGATAGCATTTAGACAGGTCTTTTTCACTGACCGGGGCGTTCAATAATAAAGGCTGTAACTAGTAGCTAGAAAAAGAAAGTCCCTTTGGGAGGAGCAAGAGCTAAGACTAGGGATCAGACAGCCAAGCCACAGGAGCGGATAGACCAAGGAGTTGGGTCAGCGGTCAGTCCCTCATCGTAGTGCGAAAGAAGCCTTCCGGAGATTCACTCAAAACTCATCTTTTTATTACTGGAGACATGGGTCCTTAGGACCTCTCTTTTACGCGTCCTCAGCAGCCGGAGAGATCCCAAGACAAAGGTTTTTATTCCCGCTTCTTGACTTAGGACCTCTTAGGCCAGGAGGAGTTAGAATCTCTTTCCTCTTGTTCATTCACTCCTTACCTATTAATCACAGACCCCTTCCAACCTTGCGTATTGCCGGGTATTCGCTCAACATGGATTTCTTATTAATGCATTTCTTGGAAAAGGATTTCTCCCTCAAGAGCAACCCTACAAAGAGTAATTCGAATTGGTAAGCTAGGGAAAGAAACTAAGACTTATTCTAGGATTTGACTTTTCAATCTTACCTTTTCTCAAAGCTTGTTCACCAAATTCCAAAGTCTTGTGTGCAAGTTGCTAAAACTCGGCATTGGATTGGCTCTTAGTCAGTTCCCTAACGCAGCTTGTGTACCGAGGATGAAGCGCCTAAAGAAGGAAATGCCATCAAAGAAGTACTTTCCGGTTAAGCTTTAGGTCATACTTGATAGTCTTCGTCGGTTCTTGTCCTTCCCTACGCTACTATACTAGGCTGTAGGGTGTTCTTTCTCCTTTTCAGTTTGGAATTGACCTTGCCCATTTGTCTTTATCCTTAGGGCCCGGAACACATAGCCAATCTCGATCCTTTGACTTCACTGCGCTTCGCTTCGTTCTTTGGGTCAGATCGCTCGAGTAACTTATCTTCGACATAGCAGAAGAGAAAAGGAATAATAATCTCTTTCTTAAAAAGTCAATAGAAGTAAAATGCGAAGCATGAAACTAATTAAAAACTTGGGAATGGCTACATCGGAAAAGCGTGAAACAATGTCAAGTCTCGGGTTTGATCGAGTGATGACGAGAGATAGAATGAAACAAAGCCTTACATTCCTTTATCTCTTTAAAGCGAGTGCTTTGAAATGTGCCGCCGTAGGAATAAGTCAACTCAAGGCCAGCTAGACGAGATAGCGGCCCAGTATCACTTTTTCCTGTGCATCCGACCTTATTGAATAAAGGAACCCGAGGTCCACTTCCTTCCACGTGCTTGGCTCACTTAAAAAATACCGGTGTAAGTGGGCCCAGCAAGGCCTTTCAACTTCTTCCTCTGTGACAAAGAAAGGCAAATCCTTCATTGCTTGCTGACATCGGATCCACCATAGCCCTACCTTTTTGAATAGCTCCGCATTCCTTTCCTTTTCTAAACACCTATTAAGTGCTTTTACTTAATTTTGAGTATATGATGGTGGGCGTGGGCTTATTTACTTTCATGAGCTGGCAAGTAGTAGGCTAGACGTTGGTGCTGGAATATAGGTGACTTCTTTTCGTGATCTTGAATCGAAGACGATTGAAAAACTAGTCTCTGGCACAAATCAGACTCCCTTTTATTTACTAAGGAATGAAATAAGGCAATCTAGCGTACTCCCCAGCAACAAGTCTTCTCTACATCCTGACAATGGAATTTTCACTGGTACACAGCTTTTTCCTCGGGAGTTTTTCACTATTCTTCAAGTACGACTAGTCGAGTGCCACTTCTGGGAAATAAAGAGTTGAATGCCTCTTGCTGGCAGACCGGCTTCCTTTTTGGTTCTTTTATACTATTATCTGCCCGGGTAAAGAATCAAGCAGTTTTGGGTATCAACCAGGGAATTGAAAGTGGACAACGAGGGGAATAAGAGTTTTGAAGAGGGAGCGCTTGGAAAAGCGATCCAGTAGAAGAATGATAAGAGAGAATAGCTTACGAATAGGCCCACAAATAGCTTTTTTAGAAGGGTGGTAGTAGAAATAGCTTTTGAGAAGTAGTCTCAGATATCAGGAGAAGCAGAGGGCGTATGCTAGTTCAATAGTAGAAGCTTTACATCAAGAGAAGAGCTTTGAAAAGAAGTAGCTGGCTTGGCTTTAACAAGACTAGTACTAGAGGGTGCCGCATCTAACAAACATAAAACTCTTTGTTCCACTAGGGATTGCATTCTAGCCCGGGATTGAGCAGATATGTAGTTTTCTTGCTTGGCTGTAAACAAAGTCAGAATTCTATTCGTTCAAACAACCTAGTACATACGTATCGTTCCAACCTACTAGTCCAGAAGTAGTCGTTCAACATAAGTCTTAGTTCAAACTTTCTCAGACGGGTAGGTAGTCCTGTTGCTTTACTAGCCCTTTCCTCCTATTCGTTCTACTAGTCAGTCCTCTTTCTTGCTTTTCTGGAACAACTTTCGGTGCTATTCCTTCCTGCCTTATGGAAAGCGTTACCTCTATCTTGGACACCGGAGTTCACTAGCCTAAGAAAGCATTGCTTATACTATCTACGTCATTCCGATCTGACCTCTTTTCCGGTATCCCTACCTAATAAAAGTCTAATCTCATTGTGTGGGGACAGGATTCGAACCTGTAGTCTTCAGGTCATGAGCCTGATGAGTTAACCAATTCCGGAAGTCAGAACGAATACCGAGACTCCCGTCTTTTACGCCTTATTAGTTATGAAAGCGGATCGCTTTGTTTGTAATGAAAAGGAAAGAGAAGGCGGCTGTAGAGATAGAGTCTTTATGGGCAACGAAAGCGGTAGGGCAAGTGAAACCTTCTATCTTTGTCAGGCGGGCATGAGAGAGAGTTATTTTTTCCGGGCAGGAATAAGAGCAGGCGCTAAGTAAGGCAACTCCCTCCGGCCGGTAGTGGATGCTGGTGAATCAGAGTCCAATCTATCTTTTCGGAAGCGAAGTCGTAACTTATACCTACCGTTCGAAAGGCGCTCCAGCCCTTATGGATTTATGGAACAATAGATATAACCGGTCTTTCTTTGCGCTTACGGTAAGCAAGTCTATTAGTACACAACACTCGTTTCTAAAAGACGAATAACTGACTTTACTGACGAGCGTGAGAGCGATGCACTTTTTCTTTAAGATCTATTTACGAGTTTATTAAATTGCAGGCTCGGAATGTCAGTTCTAAAGCGAGAGCTTTGATTAGGCTTCACAGAGGAGGACTTGTTTGATGATTAGAACAGGTATTCCTTCTTTTAATTAAAAGGTATTCCTGCTTTCTTGTATTCCCCACAGAACAAATGTGAGCTATTCATTCGGCAGACAAGGAAACTGACCCTCGAAGGATATGGCATACGCGGAGCGAAACCTTGAAAAATTCAAGTATTTACTAATGAGGGTAAAACAACCATCTTGAACAAGAATCTCTTCTTCAAAGCAGAATCTTAAATCAATGAGTCCTGATCTACACCCTTAGACGTCGATGCACTTACTCCTTACTCTATTTGGACTTTATGGCTAATGACTTACTTGAAAGATTCGTGCAGGTACATATACAACTGACTATACTACTAATAATAATAGTGACTCTGGTTCAACTTCTTACTTTTCTTGATCGTACTAGTACTAAATTAGAGTTGATTGAATAAGGAAGGCTGACACGCTTCTCGGTTGTGGTGCCTTCTTCTTTTTCTTAGAATAGAGACACATACATATTGACTTGTTGACTTGATTTGAGAATATACTTCATTTACTTTCTTTCATCGTTGACAGAAACTGAACTCAAGACAGACCTTCCAGCTTGATCTTATTGATGGATCATTCACTCAATCAAAACATTGACGCACGCGCCTTCTTTCTAGGTAATTGAATAGCAAAGTGACGGTCTCATCAGCGGCCTGGGAGTGAATGTGGAAGCTTAACACTAGCAACGGGCAGAACAGTTGGTAAAGGAGATCATTGGCACTATGGCGCATGTATGTTGAGTTCTTGAAGCATTGCCGATATCGATATATATTTCTTTGCATGGGTTGATTGACCTTGAAGTCCATATATAGATTCCCGTAGTTCATCTCAACTTGACCAACCATTGAGAATGGAACAAATAGGGGAGATTGAATTCTTCTATATTGTCTTTCAACCCTTGCTCTTGCCTTGGCTTCGCCTTCCACCTTCAGCTAAGCACCTAACCCGTGGGACGGGACCTTCGGTCTAGCCTTTGTTCGGGTATGGGACCGACCTGGGATTCTTCCATCCGAGTGAGTACCGCCCTTCTGATTTGGTTTGAGTACGGGACCGACCTT